ATTTTTGATTCCGGTCGGTGGGCGATGCCGATTCCCAGCGGCCTTAAGAGACGCGAGACGGCCTCAGAAACGCCGTCGATGTATGGAAGCGCCCGCCATATTGTTGGTTGTTCTGTCACCAAACGTCGGCTCGGTCCGGCCTGTCTGCTGCGTTCGGTTAAGTTGCGAGGATACCCGTTGGCTATGAAGAGGCGCTGGTGGTAGCGTAGTTCTGATCTTCTGTCATCTGGCTTACTGCGGTGTGTTTTTTCCCTTCTATAGAGTGTTCGCATACAACTGCGTTTGTGGCCTAACGGGCGCTTACTGTGGTAGCTCAGGATTAAACGTGTATTAGTGGTCTTCCTATATACCGTCGTTTTTAGGTGCCCATTGGGTTTTCGATGGACGAGAACGTCCAGGAATGGCAGTTGGCTGTTGGTTTCCGCCTCCATTGTGAACTGGATGTCAGGGAAAACAGAGTTCAGAACATCATAATATTCTTGGACCATTTGCCGCTTAATGATAACAAAGGTATCATCGACATATCGAGCCCAAAATTTCGGCTTATAGGTTGAGAAAACGAGAGTCTCTACTTTTTGTAGAACTGCCTCTGCGATGAAGCCCGAGAGCGGCGATCCCATTGGCGTCCCCTTGACCTGCTCGTAGGTCGTACCTTCGAAGGTAAAGTACGTCTTCAGGCAGAATCTCAGCAATAGGACGAGATGTCTCCGTTATACCGTCACGCCCGTCTCAAGCAGCTCGTTGACCGTTTCGACTACCAGGTCTTGCGGAATCGAAGTGAAAAGAGAAGTGACTTCGAATAACATCATGACCTTGTCTTTGGTAAGTCTCATCCCTTTGTTCCGCTCCACGAACTGATTTGCTGAACAGACCGTCTAGCCGCGTCCGCTGTGAAAGACCTCAGGTTTCGGAACAGTCATTTAGCCAAATTGAATGTAGATGCGCCGCGAAATGATACGATTGGCCGGAGGGGGACTCCGGCTCTGCGTACCTTTGGTAGTCCGTAAAACCTTTGTGCGGCCGCGTCTATTGGCTTAATGACCAGTCGTGCCTATTTACTAATTGCCACGAAGAAGTATGCTGACTCTTCACTCCCTCCTTGCGACACGGTGAGCAATAATCGAAACGCCTAACACATCCAACGCCGTCGCATTGCCCCCGACCTCATCCCTCATCACTGATCAGCAGCCCTCATTCGCACTGACCCACACCTCCCCGCCCCTTTCTTACCTCCAACACAGAGAGCCCTAACGGTTCTCCTTCCCCCCTCCCGCCACAAATCTTACCACAACTCGGTGCCGATCGATCTCACGCATCAGCAGTCTGTTCTGTCGTTGTCTGTCCTGTCGAACCAACCGATCTAGTCTGCGAATCTCATTTTCTCATCTGTTCATTTCGTCTGACAACGAGTTGGTGTCACCGACTTGAAAATTTACGAGTACAATTCGATTCTCGAAGAGCCTTTTCTTTTTCATATATACGTATGTATGTGCTGGAAGATGGGCATCTCAGAAACAAAAGTCGAAGAAATATGAGTCCTTTGGAAAAGTGAACACACTTTAATTCGTAAATTTTCGACACTAGTTCCCGAGGTCATCGTCAGAGGTCGATTTTTGTTCAGCTAACACCTGTTATAGGTGATCAACCATCTGTCATAGTTAATATTGCCGATCACAACCGGCAGGAAAACGGACCCGTAGCTCAAGGGTAGTGTCAAACTCCATGGCCAAATATCCCGGATTCGAAACTCAAGAGCTCCACAATGGGAGCTGAGTATGACTGGCCGATGACGACTAATAAGCCAGAAATGACCATTCCGTTCCCCCTTGTCAGTGTGGTTTATATCCCATATATATGAAAAAAATAGAGGAGATTCTTCAGAAATGTCGAGTTGTACTCGTGAATTTTAGAGGTGGTGACATCAACCCGTTCGTCTGACGACGGCAATGACAAGGATGAACGGAATGGTCATTTCTGGCTTAGTAGCCGTCATCGGCCAGTCATACTCAGCTCCCATTGTGGGGCATTTGAGTTTCGAACCCGGGATATTTGACCGTGGATTTTGACACTAACGTTGAGCTACGGGTCCGTTTTCCTGCCGGTTGTGATCGGCAATATTAACTATGTCAGATGGTTGATCACCTATGACAGGTGTTAACTGAACAAAAATCGACGTTCAGTCTAAGTTATAAGTTCTGCTGATGCTCCGAAGAGTCAGACCGTGAAGATCGTACTCAAGTCTATTAGCTATTCATCGGGGCGCTTTTACTTAATTGTTAGGCTGACCTTCGACCATCTTAAGGTCATTGGAGGATTTGTCGAGGGGTCGACTCTTGTGAGCCTGCGTGATGCGGCGGTTTGAGCTATTTGCTTGATTGTTGGGCGTTGTCTTCCTTATAGACATCTGTTGTAGCTTTGCGATTTGTTTTCAACCACAAATATGCACTTCAATTTAAAAGTCTGACGTGGAGTCTGTACACTTCGGTGTCTGTGCATATATGCCCCACCTTTGGTCAGCAACTTTTTTATGGTGGGCTGACTCTTGCTAGTAGTCCCTGAGGTCACAACTCGCCCATCAGCCCCTTCGCGTGATTGGCGTCGGTGGCCTCCTGAGACCTTTGCAGATCTGCAAAGGCCAGTAAGGTCATCTGTTATACACATGCCCGAAAATCCGAGCTGTTAGTGCACGGCTAAACGTAGGCTAGAACAATATTACACGGGCTGGGATGTCCCCAGTTCGACTGTATTGGTGACCATTATCTTCCATTTCAGATTGCACCGGTCCTGTCACCAGGACATATCTTATATATCTATCTATATCTTATATCTATGTATAGACGCTCCTTTAAACTCGTGTTAGTATAAGAGGAAAACCTGTGTCATAAAAGCTGGCTGGGAAATAGACCATGGTTTCTACCAGAAGCCTCATCATCAATTGTCTGTATAGATCAAACACTGTACCTCACAGCAAATATGCGAGAACAATTATTGCTTGCGAAAATCCGGAATTAATCATGGAAATTCCTCCACGCATGACGTCAGGTCATTTGATCTTTATGACAGTCAGATACAATGCGGACATAAAGCCCTAATTACTGCACTAAAATCAGTCGAGCAATGCCACTAAGTTAACTACGGTCTCTGTGAGGTGTTAGTTTTGATTGGTTTCTTCTGCATGGCTAACATGATGTACTTCCCATCTCCTCATAGTCGTCCTTTTATCGACAAGACTTTCGTATTTTCTCTTTCAGCCAGATTTTACCTATCCTTTCTAGAATTAATTCATATTTCATGAATTACCTGTTCAAGGCGAAGTTATCATTGGAGTCGTTTGAAAATCCGACCTCTTCCTTTGCATTTTTGCGAGGAAAGCACGAAATTGGCGTGCATTTCTCCCAATAACTTCCGAATCTTTTTGTAACTGATAGTTCTTCGTTGCCCACCTACGCCGTACTTCAGTTGTTTGTCGACGGTTTTTACGTAGAGCCGAAAGCGAGCAGGAATGACTGCGAAAACAGCTTTACTTTAGCTATCGTAATGCGTACCTCAACGCCCCATTCTTCCTGCCCAAGACGCCAGAGCTAATTTCAGTGGCGTTGCCGGATCACTGCGTCCCGATTGTTCGGCCACTGAGCAGAAGTCTGGATCCTGACCCCCGCAATTCACAGGCGCTGGAGAATCGCATATGGCCAGGAGCTAATTGATTTGTTAAACTAAACACGCATGAATGAGTCGTGACTGCTATGCATCTTAGTGTTTTCTCGTCTCTCGTGGACGCCGATCAGTGGGTTACTGCCTGCGTATCTTTTACGGGAAAAGAAAGTTTAGGCAAATGCTCCGTACCAAATAATCGACCCTGCCTTATTCACTCTGCAGCAGTTGCCTCCCAAACAGTGCCCGCTGACACAATAATAGCACTTTTATCATTCGAACTAGTGTTTTTCCCCCGTGCTTCGTTGCGATGTCTGTCTTTTTCGGTATTTTGTGCCCTGTCCTATTCTTTTTTTTGGTATTTTGTGCCCTGTCCTATTCTACAGTTTGTATCGATGCACGTTTTTGTCTGTTTTATTGGTCCATTCCTCCCATGTCCTTCTGGTTTCTTGTCTACTTTTACAGTTTTTGCCGCTATGCTTGTGACTATGCTAACTGCCACCCTAATTCTCCTTCCTGGATTTCTGCTGTCTAACTGAGGGCTATATTATGTAAGACGTTTCCGGCGGAAAAGTGCCAAAAGATTGAGGAGCATTTGGGACTTTGAGCCAACGAGAGCGAGTCCATGTCCCCTAAAAGCTGCTGGTATACCAGCACGAGGCACTTCTAAGTTCCAGTTTTGAAATTCGGTCGTCAGCTAGAGTCTGTTGATCACAATACAACCTGCAGTCTTCGCACAGTACCTTGAACAGGTGAAGGTGTGTGAGGGTTTTCGCATGCTCCACCTCGTTTTTGTGGGTTACTTCTGGGCTCACTTGGAACCCCCACCATTGACGAAATCTGACACCCCCATGGACGCAGTGGAGTCGATCTCGTCCTGTCATTATAGTGCCTTATTTTGTAACTTATCCATAGGCCTGCGACCTAACACGTTGACCGGCCAGACAATGCTTTTCTTTATTGCGGTATTTCGCGATATACAACTGGTCATCTTAGAAATTCCGACTTATTTAGGAAGGGCTTTGGTTCTGTTGTTTCGGCTGGTCTGTCTAACTCGCCTCATCAACAATTTCCGTTAAGCATATGAAGCTGAGTCCCCGTAGGTCGTCTTCTGTCTGCATCGTTTCTTTCGAATACTTCGTTACTCGCGTGTTACTGTTGTCTGCACAACGACAAGCCCTCACATTGTTGTATACCACTCTAAGTAGCACTTCTTCCCTAACCGCACACCTAACACGCGGCACTGCCCCAAGCCAAGTCGGTCTTTGTTGTTTGTGCGTAATTCGAATATAAACTTAACAATCCGGACCCCTTTCGATAGATAGTAGTCCACCTGTGGAGAGCGCCGAATGTGTACTGATTTGCTGGCTTTTTGGACTTGTGTAATTCGCGGTTTTTGTCGTCTTTTATACCTAACATTTCCTTCTCCAGTGTTTTGGAAGCAGCGCCATGACAACACCATCAGCCCAGGGTCTTGATTGTATCAAAGCAACATTCCACGGTGACGAGACGCACTCCCACGTCTTTGTCGTTTTAGGCGCATCGGTAGGTCTGGCGTGTTCTGTTGTATCACACGGGACACCTTTCCCCGCATTTTAGGGTGACTTAGCCAGAAAGAAGATCTATCCTACCTTGTGGTAAGCCCCCTACGTACAGAAATACGTGTAACTGAGTGTTCCTTATCAGGTGGCTGTTTCGTGATGGTCTCTTGCCCAACAAGACCTTCGTCATTGGCTATGCCCGTTCGGACATAACCGTTGAGTTCATCCGTTCAAAGTCGGAGCCCTATATGAAGGCAAGTTCTTAGTTTTACCTTTGCTGTCCTTCCCCTCCATTGTCTTGTTAAATCGTCAATGCAGAGGACGGGAAGATCTGTTTTCCCGGATAATCCGTCATAAGGTCATCTGAAGTCACATCGCCACGCAATTCAGTTACCCAGCCGCTACTATGGCATATATTTCTGGAATTCGTAACCTATCTGACTGCTACCAGCGTGTTGATGAACTAGAGTTCTTGAGAAATGGCCTACAGAAAATTTTCTTTTCAGTTTGCGGAAAGAAGCACTGCCGCATATGATGATTAGATTTGATGGCGGTATATACGTGGGGTGGATTTGAGCTCCGAGTCAATTGATAATCTAGCAAGGCTTCACTACGGGCTTATCATGTCGGTGGAGATCGGAAGTATTCAGTCACATGACAATTCCGCACACAGATCTATTTTGATTGTCAACGGAAACGAGCATCTCCGCTTTGTTTTGTATGTGAGGTTCTACAACCCACGCTGACGGTCGCATAACGACTAGCAATAAATAGTTAAAAAGTGTTTATCGACAAAGACGATGGAATGAAGTAAATTCCTGGCTTGCCTGACAATATCAGACAGCCACACCCTGGCTTGGGGTTTGAATCTAGGCCCAGATTTTCAGCGAGTTAAGCATTTTACCTCTTGAACCGCGGACCCACGACTGGTCATCTGTGACCGGAAATGTTGAAAGTCAGACAGAAGTAACTCCCTGTCTGCCCGATTGCAGGGACCCTATATTGGAGCTCACAGATAAAGTAGAGCGAATCTGCTCATTCCTGCAATCGGATCGTGAAGCACCGCTTCCACCTCTCTAAATTCGGTATATTCTGCCTTCCGATGCACGCTTCTATGACTAGGAGCAACGCATGGCCCTCAAAATTTCCTCACTCTCATAGATGATGTCAAGACTCCGCCGTAGGCGTTTTATTTGCCCACAAGGCGTAGATTTTAGCCAGTATTACAGATTCTGACCTGTCTCAGAAAAAGCGTCCATTTCCACTGCTCTAATGTAGCTCATTTTATCGTATTTTGCCCGTGCTGATCGTGCTTCCCCCCCTTCCTTGCTCCCACTAGGTGCGTTTAGAGAAGGCAGCCGAAAAGGAGCGTTTTGACGAATTCTGGAGGCTCAACCAATACTGTCGGGGTAGTTACACGGAGACGGCGGATTTCGAGAAGCTGAATGCTCTGATTCTGTCCACCTGCGGCCAGTTTGCCAACCGTCTCTTCTACCTCGCCTTGCCACCATCCACCTACAGCAGTGTGGCATCCCATCTTGCGGCCAGCTGCATGGCCAAGAAGTGAGTCCCCTCTACCGCCCTTTTTCGGCCGTTGGAACCTTGGTTTCATCTGCTCAGCTTCTAGTCCCACTGTGTGTTTTAATCGGAACCTTGAGTAGCAGTCCAGTAGGCTCGATGCGCTCGAGTGAGCAATGTTCACTGCAGTGCTTGCTGACCTCTCCATCCCACAAATTATTGATACATAGAAGTGCACTTTTTAAAATGTTACTAGACATAGCTCCTGCCCCCCCCTCATGGCGAGTGCCTTGCACTTTGGACTGTCGTTCTATGGAATCAATAAAAAGTCAGACAGATTTGTCATCACATGTCGTCTTCAATGGACCAGGCTGACCATGTGACCCGTGACTTGAGTGCTTGGCTGCTCTATTTGAATGCTCGACGAACAAGTGACTCGTGGCAGTCTGCCCTGTTTTTGTCGATAGTAACAAGTATTACCGACAAAATATCACGAAAATCATTCTGCCCACATGATTTGGAGTAGAAGTAAGTGATTTCTGGGTAACATGTCGCGGTGCTAAAAACCAGGCCTCAAATCCCACTGATGAGCCGGCTTCTCGGTCGTTCAACATGCGCGCTCCTGTTTGGACGAGCGTTCTCTTCAGGGGGGGGGGCTTTCGGGCGTTCAAGGGGTTGGACTTGCCTTTAATCCACCCCAACAAAAAAGTCACTAGTGTTCGCGGATCTGCAACCGTTCTGTTCCGTCGTTATGCTTGTCTAATTGTCATTGCAATCGCGAGCCTCTTTGCTACTAATTGAAAAATGTACTGGCATCAGGTTTAATCTCTACTCTCACGTCACAGCATGCTGACTTGTGTTGACATTCTTCATTGGTTTTGGTTCGACGAAAAGTGTGTACGTTTCGAGGCAGTCGCGTCCTGTTGAATCAGGACATACGCATTACGTTGTTGCATGTTTTAGGACTTTAAAACCGCTATGCATAGTCCTCTATAAATTCAATTTATCAGAAAAAGTTGACGGAGATTCATAAAACACGCGTGTAGTCAAGCATGCGTCTCAGGTCTCAGACGATTTTTTAAACAGTAAATATCCCCACCCACCAGCTGCTGAATTTCAACATGGGCTTCCCTAGGTAGCTGTCATAGGAGTTTGGCGTTTTGACTGAGTTTAAACATAAAAATCGAACGAAAATCGCACTGTATTTAAGTATGCCTTTTTTATGCTGCGGCAACTGTAGATGAGGCGACCCATTGTATGCTGTTGTGTGTGAACGATATTTTCTGTTTTAAATCATACTTAGGATCTTGATGAGCCTTTCAACATTTCCCTTCTTGAGCTGAGATTTCCCCGAGTGATGTAGTGGCCTTACTTAAATGGCCTTTGATGCCTCAACCACCGCGTGCTACTTGGGATAGCATACAACAATGCAAGGGCTTGATGTTGTGCACACAACAGTAACACGCAAGTAACGAATGAAAACGAAGTATTCGAAATATGCGATGTAGACAACAGACGAGTTGAGGCGCCACCACCACCATCCTCATCATCATCGCCACCAATGTTTACCCTCATCTGACATCCTCCAGCCCTCCAAAATTAGAATTTTGGCAGAAATAAAAGACACCACCGCCACCACCACCACTATCAGCAGCACATACACATTACCAACTTCTCCGCATGAGAAGCGTCCCTTCCAATGACGCGTAGGCCTGGTCGGTCATCTGCGAATTCAGCAGGGCTCGGATGGAAAGCTTATGCCCCGAGCACTGGCCAAGCTCCATTAAGCATGCTTCCGCTGCTCACACCAACGCTGGACACTCCGACACCGTATGAGCCTATACCATCCATTTGCGCATACATGGAACGCCCAGTAAAACATTACAACTCGCGCCTCTCCAACATCACTTCATTTTACACTCGCACATAAACAACTGTTAGCTACGCATATGCCTATTCGGCTGCACAGCGCGCATCTCAGCTCTCACCAAAGCACGGCACATTGATGATCGCAATGTGCTGCCCAATCATCATCACCCTTCTGACCTCTGTTGGGGTGTTGTTGTTGTTGCTGCCGTTGCTTGTCAAAATCCCAAGGTGTGGTTGCACGCCTAGGTGCGGCTCCGACCGCGCCAGTCACCTGCGCTCTCCCCCGCCTCCGGTCTTGACCCTGTCCTGACACCGGGTCCAGGTGGGGAATGGGGAAGAGGGAGAGTGCAGTAGATGTCACGCGCAAGTCGTCCTGCCTGTCGCACCTTGGTGTGTAGCACACGGTGGACATCGTCGGCAACGACGGTCGAACTGGTGGTATGTGTCCTGTGACACAACGTTTGTTGTCTCCAGTAGCCAGCGGTCGGGGTCAAGTGAGATTCTAACCACAACAGTGAGGGTCAAGCGCCTATTTGAATAGTTAAAATTTTTGTCATGCTTGGGTATCCGCTGTTGCTGTTGTGTATTGCACCTATGCGTATTCGTAGGACTGCTGTCATCAGCATCATAATTATTGCGCAATTGTGGCGCAATGACTGGACGTTGCTGGCTTGAAGAGAGCAAGGCTTTTCGTGGCCATTTGAGGGCACTGGCCAGAGCGCTTCGTAGGTGCGACTTTGTGGCGGACAATGGGAATTCCAGGACAGGAAAGCGTGATGCGTTCACAAGACCAACTGCGGGTCACTTTGCGGCGAGGACCCATGCGCAAAACTTTTGTCAGTTCTTCTCTGATTATCACATTTGCCTTCTTTTGGCGCCCCATGCGACATGTCAAGAGCTGACCATGTAGTAAGCCAAATCGAGTACACGTCACTCCAAGCAGGCTGGAGTCGGTTCATATGGGACATCCTGGCCACGTGTGGTTCCGACGGAGCTAGAGATGACGGCTTCAGTTTACCTGCATCATTTCAGATTACATGTCAGCTTGAGACTGGGAGCTGTTAATGAATTCAACTTAACCACATAGTCTAAACTTCTAAACCAACAGGTCGCGAGTTCGAGGTTCGGGTGTTCCACACTTCGGGCTTGGGTATGGCTGGCTGACGACGGCTAATAAGCCAGAAATGGCCATTCCAGTCTCCCTTGTCTTGGTCGGTAATAGCATTCTGCCTATATATCATGCGCCGCTGTGCGGCTGCTGGTTGGACTCGAGAGAGAGCCCTTAAGCACAACGGAACGAGTGAGTTCCGTATGAACGATCGGTGAGCGCCCCCTACCATTGTATATTCCCCATCGAAAACGGACAGGGCAACGGGCTCGTGGCCCGGTGGGTAGAGGCGTGGACTTCTAAACCAACAGGTCGCGAGTTCGAGGCTCGGGTGTTCCACACTTCGGGCTTGGGTATGGCTGGCTGACGACGGCTAATAGGCCAGAAATGGCCATTCCAGTCTCCCTTGTCTTTGTCGGTAGTAGCATAGTCAGTTTTGTTTAACAGGATTTGCTTGGTTGGTGACGCTTAATTGTGAACTTACCTTCGGGTGACTGCACCTAGAGACTAGCCGTACTAAACGCCTCCATAGGCATGGTAGTATACGTTTGGATTAAACTACCTCTGAACCATAAAGACGGTTTGGTTCACAGGGTTGCTAGGCCGTGGACTTAGGCTAAGCATATTATTCAGTCAAGGTATCCACCTGTCGTAAGAACAAATGCTAGTCAAGGTGGGATGTTATTACCGTAATGCTGCATGATTCTTACCTTTTGCCTCTGGCCACCACAAATCCTCCGAATTCCTGTCTAAGTTGGCAGTAAACTGAAGAAACTGACTGATGCGGCCAAGTTCTATCTGGGGAGGATGCTCTGGGCCCGACGGTCTTCAGTGTTTGGGAATGGAACCTCACTGCGGCAGCGATTGCCAAGGGCTTGGGGGGGGGGGTGGGTCGCAAAGCATGAACGCCACTTCGATGCTATGCTGTTAGGCCGGTTTCCAAGTGGTCCCTCAGCAAGGCTCACAGCGACGTCGCTCTTGTTGACTTTGTTGCTACAGTAGGTGGGCTAACTCATGAAATGTCAACCGAAGTTCCGAAATGCGTTTTCGTTTCGAAAAGATTAATTAAGTAGGGTTGTAAAATTAATCATCATGCAGCATAGTTCTATAATGATCCAGTTACCTCAGGGTGTCGGCTTTCGAATGGACTTATTTCCGGCTGCATGCAAAAACTATACTCCGCATGCAATTTTCTGATTAATTTTCGATGCCCTTGAAAATTCACTTATGTTTCATGAAAAACGTGCATAGAGATATTCATTCCTGTACTTATTCGGTAGAAAATCACGTTCTCTTCCGATTTTATACTCGAAAGAAGGGTATACTTCGGTTTAAAGAAACGTTTCTTATTCCCGAATAATTTTGAACCCGACCTGCTGTTGCACTGGTATTCAGGGTTTCAAAACTACGAGTATATTTTCCGCGTACGGAAAACCATGCATTTCTCTACAGTATTAGGAGGAGACCATATGGGGTTTATAAAATTAAGCAGTGAATTTGTCACTATTGTTAACTTTACAAGCCACATTCGTAAATGCAGATACATAACGATTTATGCACGGCCATGTCACGGTATTTAAAAATCTCACAATTAGAAACTTTTTTGAAGCCGAATTATGCCCTTCTTTCGAGTATAAAATCGGAAGAAGACGTAATTTTCAACCGAATGAGCAAAAGAATAAATACTTTTATGCATTTCTTCTCCATGAAATATGGTTGAAATTCTAAGGGCATAGAAAATTATTGAGAAAATTTCATGCTACTTAAGTAGTCATTTCTACAGAGCATAGTTTTTGCATGCAGCCTGACGGAAGTTCATTCGAAAGCCGACATCCTGAGGTAACAGGATCATTATAGAATTATGCTACATGATGATTAGTTTTACAACCTTACTTTAATTAATCTTTTTGAAACGAGAGTGCATTTCGGAATTTAGGTTGACATTTCATGAGTTAGCCCACCCACTGTAGATTCGGTCGACCCTTCAACCTACAGTTCTTCTTCTCGGGCCGCACAGACGAGCATGTGCGAATTTCAAGTAAGATGACACTGTGTAGCTGATCACTTCCCACTCTGCCCTGTTTAATTTCCGAAGAAATTTATGCGCGAACTTGGAGTAAGTCCTTTGGAACAGACCCTTTTTATGCTCGGTCCGAAATTTGACGTTAATATTTTCGCTGAAGTCTATCAGCTGCGGAATAACCGCGTAGTATTCAGTTCAAATATTCATATCAACTTTCGGACCGAGGTGAAGAAAGGTCTGTTCCAAAGGATTTTCCCCAAGTTCGCGCATTTATTTCCTCGGAAATTAAACAAGACAGGGCGAAAATGGAGTTCGTATACCAGAAAGCACACAGAGCACGCTAAGGGTCCCACTGATGAGCCAAACCCCTCGCAGCTGCGCTAGGCAGCGGCACAAGATCGGCGAAATACGCGTGTCTGGGGTTGTAGCTAGCATCTAAACCGCCATTATTGTAAATAATCACGTACATCCCGCTCTCCCCTATCCTCTACTATCTCCAGGCATATCAGCTCTTTTTTGGCCTTGTCTTCTGACGAAATTATCTGACATATTTTTTTGTAATTGATAACGCTTTCTACCGCCTACGATGACGAACAGTTGGCAGAGGGCCTTTTCCATGTCTGACTTCTTCCTTTATCGTTTCCTTTTCAACATGTTCTCTGGCGTCCTTCAAACAGTCTGCTCGTGTTCCTCTTGTTATTACCGTATCAGTAGTGTCATTATAGTTTTTTTTACACACTTGCATTCTTTACCAGACGAAAATGACTGTTCAACTATTGGTCCCTTATGTCTTCCAGCAGGACAGTTTTCTCAATCACTTTTAATCACTTCCTTGACGTTTTATTTGTGCGAGCTCATGGAGGACTACGCGACAAGTCAGGTTGAAGCTCATTTTAAGCCAATCAGCTAGCAGCAAAATATCGATCAGTGCCGAAACTGCTGCTCCCTCTCGAGCGTCCGGCGCCGCGCAGTCCACGCCTACTTCGTCCTTCTCAATGCTCGACGCTCGCAAGTTCTGAAAACCGACTGTTTGCAGGTTCGTATGTCCCGTGCAGGGCCACGTGTCACCCTTCTGGGCCTAAAGGTCTGTAAGCGTCTGCTATGCCAGGATCAGCAAGCCATGGCCTTTGCAGCCTGGTATGCGCTGGCAGTTCCCTGACACCTGGTTCCCTGCCGGTAGATGTGCTTGAACTCCCGCTAAGTACATACAGTGCGTGACCTATCTCATGAAATGTTGGCTGAAATCCTGAAATGCGTTTTCGATTAGGAAGGATTACTTGGTCGCGGTTGTGACACTGATTATCCTAAGACACTTATAATATTTCAGACTCGGCAGGATGTCGGCTTCCAAATGCATTTCTTTTCAATCTCCTGTAGAAATCGTGCTCGGTAAAAAATGACTACTTAAGTAGCATGCATTTTTCCCATTGATTTTCGATGGTCTTGGAAATTCAAATGTATTTTATAGAAACCACAAACAAAAATATGCTTTCTTTTAGTCAATCAATAGAGAATCACCTCTTTGTTATATTTTATACTTAAGGAAGAAGGATGATTAGGTGTTACACAAGTTTCTAATTATGAGACTTTTTGAGACCACGATATGTTCATTCACATACCATCGTACCTGGCCGTTTACCACTGCTCCTCATGAAATGTACAACATGGTCCGCATCCATTGCAAAATTTTATGGAACCTGTATAATATCTCTTTAATGACATAGAAAAATATGGGATTTTCTTTACGCGGAGCGCATGCACCTTGTAGAGTGTAATCACTAAGCGCTAATGCAACGGATGATCAGGCTCCAAATTTCTCAACAATTAGAAAGCTTTTGTAAAACCTAATTATCCTCCTTCCTTAAGTATAAAATATAAAGAAGACGTGATTCTCTAATGATTGACTAAAAGAAAGCATATTTTTGCTTGTGGTTTCTACAAAATATATTTGAATTTCCAAGACCATCGAAAATCAATGGGAAAAATGCATGCTACTTAAGTAGTCATTTTTACCGAGCACGCTTTCTACAGGAGATTGAAAAGAAGTTCATTTAAAAGCCGACATCCTGCCGAGTCTAAAATGCTATAATAGTATGCCTTGAGATAATCAGTATCACAACCGCGACCAAGTAATCCTTCCTAATTGAAAACGCCTTTCAGAATTTCAGCCAACATTTCATGAGATAGGTCACGCACTGTAGGTGGTGGGCATGGCTGCCCAGTCATCCTCGTCGCTCTGGCCCTCGTTGGGGTGTTTTTGTTGGTCAAAAATCCTGGTCATTCGCTGTGTGGACCAGGGGGTGTGGTGCGGCTCCGGCCGTGCCAGCCACGTGCGCCCTCCCCCCACCTCCGGCCTTCTTGACACCAAGCCCAGGTCGGGAGGAGAAGAGAGTGCGGTAGATGCATCGCAAGTCTATGCCCACTATAAACCAATTCACGCGCAAGTCACCGTGCCTGCTCTCACCTTGCTGTGGAGCACACGGCGGACATCGTCGGACGCGACGGTGGAACTGTCATGCCCTGTGCATACCACTTGAGTAAAAGTACTTCCAGCAGACTGGTCCGTCCAAGGGGCAGACTGTTATCTCGGCCATGCCCTCGCTAAATGAAAAGATGATTCCATTGAACGAGGTAAATTCGAAATATACATATGGTGACGGTGGGGTGGTCCTGACGACGATAACCCTCATACACTTTTCGGAGAGGAGGCTATGTCAGATTGTTTGCTGTGCCCATCTTGGAGCCAAAGGCAGCGTTTCTGCTAGGTAGCCCTTTTTGTCTAAGTCTATCAGCCTAGCATGCCCCGACCTGCCGCTTGCGAGGCGTTTTGAAACAACTTTTATTCTTCTCTCCCTTCCCCAGCCCCGAGGTATGGACCCGGGTCATCATTGAGAAGCCCTTCGGTCATGACCTTGAATCCGCCAAGAAATTGTCTCAGCACCTCAACCAGCTCTTTACTGAACCCCAGATCTACCGGATTGACCACTACCTTGGCAAGGAAATGGTGCAGAACCTGCTAATTTTACGGTAAGCCTCTTGCTCTCCCCTCTAACTGATAACTTCTACTGGTCGGGACAGCCGATATGCCATCTTCACCCCCTTTTCCTCTCGTCTTTAAAGTGAAGCTCGAAACCCGTTAATCTTCCCGCAACTGTAACAGCTGATCTGCCGAGAGTGAACTAACACGTTTGGCAGATTTCGCTATCCTTCGTTCTCCTCCTCCTCCTCCTCCTCCTCCTCAAACTACCTTCGGTCGAATTTTATCATATCGCAAACAGAATAAAATACCGTCGTTCATGTCGTGCATAGGCCCATCAATATCGACAATTAGGGGTTGTGTTTCTTTTCTGAAATATGGCCGGGACTCCAAAATAACTGTCTTTGGAATACCTGGATTGAAAACGTTGCTTTTATTCCATGATGTACTGATGAGCGGAAGTCGGGTCTGTCTGTGGCGTGTACGAGGCGGAATTTACTACTGAAAGCAACACGTGGTTTAAATCCACTGGAGCGCTCAACTCAAAAAATCAAAAAATAAACCACCAACCACAATGCTGGTCGGTCAAAACAAACAAGCGGCAAAGCGCAGTATGTTAAAAAAGCAAGAGCAATTTACGTTTCACTATTGACAATTCCAACTGACTATCGTCAGTCCCTACCATTTGCCGTCCCGTCACCAGTTAAGCAGGTCCGACTGACGTTGTCGGACAGTCCACTGGGAGCTGAAAGCCATGGGCGAGCTGCCTGAAATTCCCAAAACAGGTAACCGTATTCTAACTGACCGTCTGATACTCTCTCTACCGTTTTCGCATCAGACACCTAAAACGTGCACGCAGCATCAGTGCTTGTTTAAGTACTACAGCGTACGCGTTTGGGGGTGGTAACCGAATCAACTTTTTCGAAAACGTGGACTTGGCCTACGGAGGCACAGTAAGCCATTCTCCTTAAAAATTCTTGCGGTTTCGACATTTTTGGTCGGCATAAGCTCACGGCTGCGGTTAACTTTAAAGAACGTTGCCATGGCTCTGTCAGTCTCTCCGTGAGCCGCATTAAGAAAACATGTGAGTACTCCTTGCCTTGATATAGTAGCCGGTTGCCTAGGGATGCACTTACCTTTGATATTTCTTACTTGGACTTCTAACTAACAGGTCGTGATTTCGAGCCTCAGGTGTTCCACACATCGGGGTTGGGTATGACTGGCTGACGACGGCTAATAAGCCAGAGCTGACCATTCCAGTCTCACTTGTCTTTGTCGGTAATAACATACTGCCTTTATCGTGCGCTGCTGTGCGACTGCTGGTTGGGCTTGAGAGAGAGCCCGTAAGGCACAAGGAGACGAGTGAGTTCCGTATGAACAATCGGTGAGCGCCCCCTACCATTGGCCGAGTTTCCTAATGGCAACCTCCGGGTCGCTCAGTGACTGAAAGTACCACCTAAACATAATTTCACGAAGCGTAAACTCAAGAAGAGTCCCAGTATCCATTGCAGCTCGCATAAACGTGTTCGACCAATCGCCCGGTAGCCGGCGGAAACATTCCGCAAATTGTTGTCGTCAATCGCTCCCGTGCATACTTTTGACGAGGTCCACCGACCCATATATGCGTGCCACACACGACCTGGTCCACATAGCGTGCATAGGGCTTTCATGGGCGACCCAGACTGCATGTGTGAGGGCACCATAGAAGCGATAATAAGAAGGAGCCATTGCAACCTGACTCTCAGTCCCGAAAGAGCCGAGCTATGCCGTCAGTTGACAACCTTCCAAGCCACGGCTTTTAGCACGTCGTGTCAGATTAAGACGCATGAGACCTACTATGGTGCGGGATCCGCTGGTGTGCCGCGGGAACGGATCCCGCAGTGTTGATCACACTCTCCGCTCTCCCAGTCGCCTGTCCAAGTCTGTCAGCCAGCTGGTGACGGGATTGGACACAGTGGCTGAGGCGACGGGTAGGCTCCCCACCGCGCCCCCCTTTCATGCATTTGTGGGCTTGCGCGGGCCCTCCACTGCCTGATTAACGCTCGTCTTGAGCCAATCTGAATTCCGTTCTGGTCCAAACCCGCAGGGGTGTCACCGGGTGGGTGCGCAGCCGCTGCGCTACATCTCGTCAACACTCCTTGTGACTCAGTCTTCCAGATGAGCACAGTGAGAGCGAAACTCATAGTGTCTCCTCCCTCGGCTAATGACATTCCTGGGTGAGCACGGCTAACTAACTACACCAACCAACAATCATCTAAACACAACGACACCCTAGAATTCGTTTTTTGGGATATTGTCAACTGGCTATAGGTGACGTGGGTTTTGCAACGGATATTCTTCTCTCAGTGTCTCCTATACTCGATCGGTCTCATCTCTACTCGCCATAACCTAATCTTGTCGCAGAGAGATGGGGGTTGTCCGGTAGCCTAGCTGTGATAGGCGAACGGCCTCCCCGCTTAGCGCTAGCCGTGGAACAGGCAGTCTTGTCAGTTTGACAAATAACCAGTCGCAGGGCATACAGCAGTAACTGTTTCGGGCCCAAATGGGCGCCTATAAAGAGGTCAGAAGCCATAGCAGCATTGCGACATGACGGGCAATGCCCGCCATCAGATAAGGCTTCTCTGCCGCCCAGCTTAATCCTCGAAACACTGATTTCTGTTTTCTCTTCGCGCTCTGGTTGTGTTTTTTGAGATGGAATGACGCCGAGGAATGTTATTCACCGCTCCACATCACCGTGGTAATAAAACGATATTAAGAAGGGCCGCTGTTCACATGTTGCATACAGTAGGTAGGCTAACGCGTGAAATGTCAACCGAAATTCTGAAATGCGTTTACGTTTTGAAAAGATTAAGTAAGTAGGGCTGTAAAACTAGTCAGCCTGCAACATAATTCTATAATATTTCAGTTACCCCAGGATGCCGGCTTTCGAATGAACTTCCTTCCGGCTGCGTGCAAAAACTATTCTCTGTAAAAAATGACTACTTAAGTAGTATGCACTTTTCTCATTGCTTTTCAATGCCCCTAGAAGTTCTATCATATTTCATGGAAAGTATGCATAAAAATATTCATTCTTTCGTTCACTTGGTAGATAATTACGTCTTCTTCTAGTGTTACCATCGAAGGAAGGGTACAATTCGGTTTTAAAAAGGTTTCTAATTAAAGGACTTTTAAATACCGTGAAATGGGCGTTCATAAATCGTCATATCTCTACAATTGTCAGTGTGGCTTATAAAGTTAGCAATATGGATCAAACCCATTGCTTAATTTTATGAACTCTATATGGTCCCCCGTTTGTACCGTAGAGAAATGTTTGGTTTTCCGTACGCTGAAAATATACGGCCTGTAGTGTGGTAACTCTGAATCCAAGTGTAACGGTAGAACGGATTCAAAATTATTCGGGAATTAGAAACTTTTTTAAAACCGAATTATACCCTTCCTTCGAGTATAATCTTGAAAGAAGACGTAATCGTCTACCGAATAAACAAAGGAATGAATATTTTTATGCATGTTTTCTATGAAATATAATTGGACTTTTAGGGACATCGAAAATCAATGAGGGAAATGCATGCTACATCAGTAGTCATTTTTTACAGAGAACAGTTTTTGCATGCAGCCGGAAGGAGGTTCATTCGAAAGCCGGCATCCTGAGGTAACTGAAATATTATAGAATTATGTTGCAGGCTGACTAGTTTTACAGCCGTCCTTAATTAATCTTGTCGAAACGAAAACGCATTTCGGAATTTTTGTTGAAATTTCATGAGTTAGCCCACCTGCTGTATTCTCCTCAATTATCGCTGCCTAGTACATTCGATGAACTGCCGTGTGTAGTGACAATGTGACACTGAATATTTCAGAAGGCAGTCGCAGTGCCTCTGCTAGGCCCTCTGAACCATGTTTTGAGGCCGCTCACTACGTGTTGGCGTGAGGGTATCTACAACATCATCTGAGCAAGGCGTAGTCTCTGTCTCTTTTCCCGCCTTCATTTTAGAGACGTATGATCAGTCAACCAATCAAGGCACCTAGCACCTGCATGGCGACATCAAGCACTGGTGACGAGCAGGTTAGCCGTCTATAATGGCTCACAGCGTTGAAATCCTCACCAAACGTATTTCGAACGAGTATTATTCTGCTTTTTTTTTCACAACCAAGTCTGTGCCCCTTTGTCTTCCTGAGTGGCTGTGCAATTTGCCATTTGGCCATTGCCTGGACCGACCTACTTCATCTTTTTTCGGCCTGATGCGTACCTTTGAGTGAAAAAACTCACCTGGCTGGAGTATTTCATCGGGAAACAACTTACGGCCCGTCTCACGAGCTGGATTTGGCTGTCTTTTGCGTTATTTCCACTTTCCTTACATCGATGGTGAAGGCATTTCCGTCTACGAAGGACAAACCGCTCAACCTATATTTCAAAAAGACTAGGGCCCGCTGTAATCCCTGCGGACCACTCGTCAGACCATTAGATTCTTTGCTCGTGATTGCGTCCTGTTCCCTCCTAGACGTGGTGACCGTGGGCTTTTTGCTTAAACCGTCCGGAATTCATGCCCGCATTGGTACGGGGACCAAGCAAGTGTGTGGCAGCAAGCGAGGACTGGTTGTTTGTTAAACCTTAGTCGATACGATCAATCTTTTCCCCAGTTCGCTTCGCTCAGTCTCTCCACTGATGAGGGAGGAACGAGAGGCTGAGACTGGTCCCACGTGGTGTTCACTTAATGCACGTGTCGGTCTCATCTAGGATCACACAGCATGCAGGATTTAAAAGCCCGCCACCTCACAGAATACTTCAGTTATGCGGACCGAGGATCAGGTTGAAACGGCTCCTTAAGGCAGTTCTTCTGGCAACTTTCGGCACTGTGAGATCCGAGTTATCGAGGTCTTGGCGCGTGCGCGGCACGCGTAGAGTAGACAAACTCCCAATCGGTTACTGCTCCTTCTCCCATTTATAGTCGTCACGACCCTTCCCTAGTTCTCTTGTTCGCCTTTTTTAAGTGTGTTCTCTGTTTGTGAATCCACTATTTCCTCCACCTTATCTGGCTGTTAGCCTTCTCTGGTGGAGCAGCATTGCATACTGCATAGCCCTCTAGAGTTCCTTCTCTTCGAGTGTGTGTCCCACATTTTCTTGTCCTCGAAGCCGAGTCCGAGCAGTCGCTTTTCGCGGCCGGGGCCGAGCGAAGCTTGCTCGTCATTCGACCATCTATGGCCTCTGCATCTCCAGCTTATCGTTAATTTTGCTGATTCAGTGCGCTACTTTTTGCTTCTCAACCTCTTTCCTAGCAAAAACGCACTCACTGCTTCCCCTGTTTCTCCCTCCCCCCTGCTCAGTTTTGCCAACATGATTTTCAATCCGCTCTGGAACCGCGAACACATCAGCAATGTGATGATAACCTTCAAGGAGCCCTTCGGAACGGCAGGCCGTGGAGGCTACTTCGATGGCATTGGAGTCATAAGGTGAGTCCTGTTGGCTTCGAATAGCACCACTTAATGTTCAAGGGATCTCAGAAGGTCGTTTCTGCACCGGTAGTGGGTGACAGGGAGGCGGGTACATCTGTCCATCTGCTAGACAACCTACCGCGCCTTCGTCTGCGCCTATAACTGACACACCTCTTTCCAGAAGCCAGCTGCACTGCTGTTATTCTAAACCAGAACGTAGTTAACATTGGTTCATGGCATGCACACTGAATCTGCGTGCAGTGGAACCTGTTGCGTATGTGTATCATAGGATTATGCCGCTTGATAATCGGTATTACAACCGCGCCTAAGTAATCATTCCTAGTTGAGAACGCATTTTAGAATTTCAGCCAACATTTCATGAGATCGGTCACTCACTGTACTCCTCATCGCAATGCATTTTACGCCTTCACCTGCTGCTTTTAATGCAGGTCGTCTTTCTACTTGGGTTAACTCTCACTCGCAGTGCAGATTGCGTACACAGATGTCTCAAGAAGTCTCGCAACTGTAATTGTGGAATCTCTACATGCCAGGAGTCACAACTGTGGACATGCTCACTAGGAAATATAACCGAATTTCACACAAGCATGGACAATCAGTAGAAATCACACACGGAACTCTTTGTCGATTTCGACTGATAGGGGTTACTAGTAGTGGTCTTAGTCGGGACCGACTCTAGGTCCTGTTGGTGATCAGCGCTGCAACCTCACTTAAGTACATTTTGTCAGTGGGTACGTATATGCGCGTGGTAGGAAAATGGCGACCAGTAGACCGTGTCTTAGTGGCCGAGGGTGGGCGGGGACAGTAGGGTTGAAAAAAAAGTCAAAAACGGCTGTGAAGCTTTACCTGTGATACAATAGTAAACGGAAACCAGCCGCGTCATCCAAGAAAAAGGAAAAAAAAATATTAATCCGACTGAATAAACCGCCGCTGGCTAATTTACGTGGGTTTAGAATCCAAGGTGGTTCGTAGCCAACAGAGATAGAGGGCTGTGATGCGAGGTGGTGTCAAATCGCACAGGTCGGGGAAACCTAGCGAAAAGCTCATCAGCATACGAGGAAATAAATAAATGGAGCCAGAAGGGTGACAGCCAATGTAATATTATTATTGAAGAAATAGCAGTGCTCTTAAAAAGGCTTCATGTCAGTTTTTGACTTTTTGAGACTTCACTTCCCCCCCCTCCTACCCGGCACACCTGTATAACCCCTATTAACACCATCCTTGTAAGGCACTATCTACCGGTTGCCATTTCCGCACCCCGCGCATTTACTTAACCCTTACTGCAGTATCTCCCTACAAGTGAATAACATCTGAATGGGAAGATGAGATGAGGCCTCGAAAGCCTTGCCCAGCGTAATCTAACCATCACGCCTTCGTAGGGGAGGTCCTAGTCGGAAGTTTGGAGCAAATGTCTGCTTACTTGTTTATCCACACGGCAGTCCCGCCGCTTTCCGCGTGCTGGAATTTCTACGCGAGTGATTCAGCGAATTTGCCAAATCCTTGCTGTAACTGTCGCGTTCGCCTCTCAAGGTGAAGTTCTTGAGATGATTTCCGCCACTCTTGGGCCAGTTCGCAGCCTATTAGGCACGCTTATATGCCCAATCACACACTCATCCGATAACCTTGCCCCTCAAGGTCACTACTAGCATCTCTCGTTTTTCCCTCGGGGTGTTGGTGGTCGTTAGAGCTGGCACGTCTCATGTGTTGCTCATTTGTTCTACACTTTTCCTAGAGAGATTCTTATTCATGTCTTCCTACGTGAACCCTGCGGTTCTTACCGGGCAACTAAAAGCGCAATTATGGTAAGTGCGTTCGCCAATCAGGTTACGGCACATGCTGGTAATGTTTCGTCTTGAGGCCCCATCTAGGGCTCTTGCGGGCAGTCGCATGACACCAGGAACTAGAATTTGGTCATGTCGTTAATTCTGGTGGGGGCATATTACAGTGAGTGACCGATCTCATGAAATGTTGGCGGAAATTCTGAAATGCCATTTCAATTAGGAAGGATTACAAAACTGATGATCTTTCGGCATGATCCCATAATATTTCGGACTCGGGAGGATGTCAGCTTTTGAATGCGCGCTTCTCAATCTCCCGTAGAAACCGTTCTTGGTAAAAGTGACTAATTAAGTAGCATGCATTTTTCACATTGATTTTTGAGGGTCTTGCAAATTCAAATATGCTTTATAGAATTCAGTGGGCAGAAATATGCTCCTTCCAGTTGTTTGATAGAGAATCACGTCGTCGTTAAAATTTATGCTCTAAGAAGGAGTATAATTAGGTCTTAAAAAAAGTTTATGATTATGCGATTTTTTGAGACCGTGCGATGCCCATTCATAAAGCATTGTACGTACTTTTACCACTGCTCCTCATGGAATGAACAACATAGTCCGCATCCATTACAAAATTTCATGGACTCTATATGGTGTCTTTTTAAAGACATAGAAGAATATATGATTTTCCTTACGTGGAACACATGTACCTTGTAGACTGAAATCACTAAACGCTAGTGCAACGGCTGATTAGACTCGAGAATTATAAAACTTTCAAATCCTAATTTTAGTCCTTCTTCGAGCATAAAAAATAAAGAAGACGTGATTCTCTATTAAAAGACTGCAGAAAAGCCTGTGTTTGTTCGTTGTTTCTATAAAATATTTGAATTTGCAAGACCATCAAAAATCAATGGAAAAACACCTGCTACTTAAGTAGCCATTTTTTTCCAAGTACGTTTTCTACAGGCGGTTGAAAAGCAGTGCATTCAAAAGCTGACATCTCGGATTATGCCGCATGATAATCAGTATGACAACCGCGCCCAAGTAATCCCTCCTGATCGAAAACGAATTTCAGAATTTCCGCCAACATTTCATGAGATCGGTCACTCACACTACCTTGTGTGACATTTATTCACCGGTCCCGTGTAATTGTTGCACACCCGTCCGTTGAGGAAACAGAGCTTGTGTTCCGTTCGGTTCTTTATTCACTCTTTTGGACTATTAGGCTGTCCAAAAAGAAGCGCCGGCCTGGTCTTTACCCTTCAAGCAAAGAACTAAGACCATCTGGTTCAGGTTCTCGTCAATTAAAATACTATGCGAGGACGTTTTAAATTGCTTTCTTCAACCCTACTCAAGTCGTACAAATTTGTTGTGGGCCAAGAGCTGTAGCCTTCCCGTTAATGCTGACTCAGTTGAGTACGTCGCGCATGCTTTCAACGTCGAGTCGGGCTTTCAATGTCGCCCTGACGCAAAGCTCACTTTCTGTGCCTCCTTCAACGTGGTTCTCAGAAATTCACTGACGAATTTGAGTCAGGCGCTCAGTTTTGTGATACGCTTTGCTCACGTTCCGTCTGCTGATTGCGTAAAATGATCCTTAGACACCCAGCCAAGACACACGATCAACCGGAGCCACAAAAATCAACTTGCTCTTTGCGAAGCCAATCGGCTCCAGAAGACACCGCCTCTCGCGGACTGCCAGATGGTCGTTTGTGTTTGATGCTTGTGACAAGTAAACTGCCGTGCGCTTGCGCGAAAGACGAACCAATAGCAATGGATCAAACAGGCGCGTAGTACGCGACAGATGACAGCTTTATTCCCCATCAGTCGTGGTGCTCACGCCCACATCTAGCCGACTTGCCTCTTACCTGCCACGGTCGCCTAGGAAGGAATGAGTGGAGTCGACCCTGTGTGCGTGTGTGACTTCTCTTCCTATAAGAAATTTGGCGCGCTTTACGCTACGCAAAAGCATCAAAATTCGGAATTAAATTGGTCACGGACCGACCGGATAACTGGATTCCCCTGCAGACTATGACAAACTGTAAAGCCCCCTTCATTAGCACAAAATTCCTAACTTTTGACTCCGGACCGAGTCCATGTGCGACTTATGTCGGCCAGACACTGTGTCCATGCCTATCCCCATTTTCCCTGACATTGTAACACGGCGAGTGTGATGAGATTTAGACAAGTGCTCCATAGTCGCAGTAAATTTTATCCTTACCTTCCAGGGACGTTCTGCAGAACCATCTCGTTCAAGTACTCGCACTGTTGGCCATGGAGAAGCCCCTCTCCAAGGACGCCGAAGATATCCGCGATGAGAAGGTACTCAGCTACTCACCAATCAAGCAGTAGTATCTAAATTTGCAACTGCAATCAAGTGCTCTTCCACACTATTTCCACCCCCTCCATTCGGTTTATCACTTTTGTGTCAGAAGAAAGACCGCTGACACCTGCTTCAAATGCCCATCGCCGTGGAGATAACGCCGTTTGCCGATACAAGCGAAGATGCGAGTTCCAGGAACTAGTTGATCAGAAGAAGAAGAAGAAGAACAAGAAGAAGCGATCGCTGGAACAAGGACTTTATTCTCCTGACGTTTCGTTTTCTCATTTGAACCCAGAACCATCTGCCTCTGTCTCTGCTGATGGACTCAAGTGAGAATCCGAAACGTCAGGCAACCAAAGTCCTTGTTCCAGCGATAGCTTCTTCTTCCTCCTCCTCCTCCTCCTCCTCCTCCTCCTCCTCCTCCTCCTCCTCATCATCATCATCATCATCATCATCACCATCATCTTCTTCTTCCTCTTCTTCTTCTTCTTCTTCTCCTTCTTTCTCATAATCATCATGACCATCTTCTTCTTTTTCCTCCTCCTTCTCCTCCTCCTCCTCCTCCTCCTCCTCCTCCTCCTCATCATCATCATCATCAGCATCATCATCATCATCCTCTTCTTCTTCTTCTTCTTCTTCTTCTTCCTCCTCCTCCTCCTCATCATCATCATCATCATCTGATAACGCTGTTTACTGTGACTCTTTCAAAACAGAAATCTGCATATCTATTAGGCATTAATGGCTCGCCACCGTATCTGGGGATACGTGTGTTTAAATGACGCCACCGGCCCTTCTGATCGGTTCTCTTGCCGAAAATCCACCAGCAGGGGATAATCTTCCGGTCCTCGTCAGAGCTCCATCACGCTCAAATTTTTGATCGCAGTACTCCCTAAACCTTAGCATGGTCCAATAAGAAATACAAAAATTTCAAGGAGATTAGTCTAGGAATCACAGTAGGCATCTCAGATTAACTAGTTTCATTAGTCTTTTGCGACATTATGAGGACTCTTTGTCTTTCGAAAATGTTGTCTCTGAACTTTATATTGTCTGCTGCCATCCAGTACTGTGAACAACCATTTGGCCACTCTGAATTTGCCTCTCCAAACTGGCTGCGCTGCAGATTCGCCAGACCTCAACGGGATCACGTTGGCTCGCAGCACGCGTTTATCAGGCAGCGCAGAGTGCACGCTACCTCATCACTAATGTTGTGCGCGCGCGCGTGGCACGTTGTAGACGTAGGTCCTCACGCTACGTCAGCCACTGTTCCCAATCCCATCACCCAGACAATCGACTGGAACATGGGGAGACGAGAATAGGAATCCCTCCTCAGGTTGTAATGACTCCTTCCTAGTGTGATCTTTATGAAACCCCCACACACATATGAGATCCGAGCTGTCCTCTGTGAAGCCTGGCGTGAGTTATAGGGGCCAGGCCGTGTGACCCGTGTAGTCCAACTGTTTGGGTTTGCCAGCCAATGCCCTCCCCCCCTGTATCCACTTTCGGTCGCCCTGAAATCATCTTTACGCCGTGGCAGAGTTGTTGACAGAGGACAGGGTGCAGTAGATGCTGTGCAAGTCGGTCTCACGACAGAATAATTCACGCGCGAGTTACCGGCTTTGCGGCCACACTGTAGAGCAGGCGGTGGATATCGCCTCTCGGAACGGTAGAACTGTCGGACACCTAGGAATTTCAGACTATTCTTCAGACGCAAAGCGTCTCATCCAGAGGAATGCCATTGCCTGCGTTTACCTAAGCATTTCCTGGCAAAATGAACACGGGTGCTTGACGCACAAAACTTGAAATAATGCTAACTGGGTTCAGCCATAATTAGCTTTGAGACGGTATGAAGCGCAGTGCAGTTATGCTCGATGGTGAGCATGGATTGCCAAAATGTGCCATCGTCCCATTCCACCCAGTTCGCTGGGCTCCTTAATGTGACCTTTATGGCACACAGTACCCATATGAGATCCAAACTGCCCGCATGAAGGCCTGGCATGTGTTGTAGGGATCAGACCGTGTGACCCATGTAATCGGACTGCTTGGGTTGCCCGCCACTGTCCCCCGTATCCACCTTCGGCCGTCCTGAAATCGTCTTTCCGCCCAGTCAGGCTGACTGACGGAGTGCGGCAAACGCTTTGCAAGTCAGTCTCACTACAAACTAATAAACGCCTGAGTTACCGGTGTTGCGCCCACACCATTGAACACGTAGTGGATGCCGTCTTTGGGGATGCTTGGCCAAAACGGGGTTTGGCATCTCAGAAGTTCCCTCCCTAGCTTAGAGACTGAATAAAGTACAGTACCGTTATACTCCTTGGTAGGGTGTGCAGATTGGACTGCCTAGGTGGATACGCTTGCCGTTGTGTCGCTGCCAGAAGGTGCCGTCTTCGCACTGCACACATTTCGCAAGCAAATAAGACTGAAATGACCGTTTCTGACTCGCTTATTATCGTCAGCTAGCCAGTCAACCCAAAACCGGAAAGACTTGGACCACGTTGTTCATCCAACAACTGCTCCGCCATTGAGACCTGCAATCCGTGTGGCCTGTGGCTGCCTGCTGATCGCGAAGTTGAAAATGCCATCTCGACTCTCGTCACTTCTCTGCCAGTTATCTTCCTCTGTCATGTTACAAGTGGACGCTGTGTCATTTTTACATGTGCCACAGACCCTTGATTTCGCAGTCATAGACCCAGGGGAATTGGATTACTATTCCTCGAGACAGACAAGCATTAACAGTCCACATCAAGTTGCAGTATGACCTCCCACATGAAGTTGTTTGGTAGGCTGCCAGGCACCGGGTACGGTCAGCGGCGTTGCGTAACGTTAGCCTTCCGACATCCCATCGGGTCCTCTACTTTTGATTTATGACGGTCCCACCACCGGTGAACCTAAGGCTGTTTTGCCGAATGCCTTAACTTGCTTTCAAGACAGCTCCTATGCGACAACGATAGACAACTCTGGCGGTAGAACGTCTGCCGTTCCCGGTAGTGCACGAACTCACCCTTATCCGTAGTGTGGCCCAGCGGGTTTTCTAACCAAAAATGATCCTGATCGTCATCGATGTTTCCGCTGGGACTTGACTCCACGGTGGGTTCCCGTCAAAAATATCTACCTAATGGCAGCTCAAACATGCGACCGGGATTTTAATCATCAGTGTAGGGGAATAGGAAGTAACAGTCGCACCCACTAATAAACACATACTTGTCGTTCGTTTGATAACTGCCTACCTCGTTTTTCCGGCATTTCCCCTGCACTGCGATCGCTCTCAAATTCATCTCCTTGTCTGTCCACCAAATTAGGGAGAGGGGCGTTCATCGATCGTTTTCCGGAACTCACTCGTCCCGTTGTGCCTTACGGGCTCTCTCTTGAGCCCAATCAGCGGCCGCACAGCAGTGTGTGATCTAGCCAAGGGAGACCAGAATGGCCATTTCTGGCCTATTAGCCGTCGTCAGGCAGTCATACTCAATCCCGAAGCGTGGAACACCTGGGGCTCGATCCCGAGACCTGTTGGTTAGAATTCCAACACCTCTACCCACTGAGCCACGGGCACGGTATCCTGTCGGTTGCAATCGGGAATTGTAGATGTCCACATTCTCCATGTACGACATTGTCAAAGTAGCAGGAGCAGTCGTTTTGGAGGAAAAAGCATCATTCCACCCTTGTTGCGCCAGACTCCTACGATGGCTTCTCAGGGGGTTGGGTGCGATCGAATTTACTCGTAAGGTGCCACTCCATACGCCGCTGCAAGTGGCCACTGCGACAGCAAAGCTGCCTACTATGCATGACCTACACGCTGGAAGCACATCGACTCGGTTGTCGGAGCCTCCCACAGCCGGCAACCGAGCTGCCTGTCAAAAGCGAATGGGGGGACTGCTTCTTAGTTCCGCAGCCCAGGACGGATTGAAGTCATCCGAATCGCTCTTGCCGCTCTCTCCTCTCCTCCACCCGTTGCAGCCGGGTAGAAAATCTCTCGCATGTGATGACACAGTTCCACTTAATGCTGTCTTTCGAAGCCCGGCCCGCTACCATTAATGTCGGGTAGAGATAACTCTACAGAAGGAGGAGGAGGCCTGAGGGATGGTAGTTTGAGCCTGTTTTCCATCAAAATGTCCCCAGGCGGTGCGGTGTCACTTTTCCATGTGGTTCCTCCGAAATTTTGAGTGCAGACTGGCCCCGAACGGATTGTTTGTTCGAGGTCGCCTCTTCTAGCATTTTGACTCAAGAACCCAACCACAAGGCAACGATTGCAGACAGATTTGTTTATAGATCGCCATGTCAAAGCCCTGTCACCGGGCTTCGTGGTAGCTTACAAGACAGCCGGCGTGCCAGACCTCAGCCCTGATAGCACAGTCGCCACTGGTCTGTGACTGTGCTTATTCATCATACCTGAGAACCTGCTTATTTTAGCAGCTAAGCCTCGCTGACAGTCTCTCCACTATCCGCCACTCGTGGACTCACTGGGTAGTCAGCAGCCAAGCTACAGCTTTCCACGCTCGTTCAATCACCTCATGGAGCCAAGGCGCCAGAGTGTTGACACCAGACTTGTAGATTTCAGTGCTTATATCGTCCTCTCGGGGTGGTTATTGTTGAGCAACCTCCGTATGGCATCGACAACTTCTCCTTCAGAGGGGGGGGGGTCGTATGACACTGCATAGGTAGGAGAAGGAAGAAACTCCGCTGAAGAGGAGAGCAAGGGCGAGGTAGGTTGGGTGTCGAAATTGAGATGGTGGTCGAAGTGCTTACAACAGCGCTCGGCTTTGGCCGAGGTGTTGGCAATAAAGCCACCGTTCACGTCGCGAACAGAGTCACTCAGTGTAGAGGGCTTACCGCTAACTTGGCGGATCAGTTGTTAGACCACCCGTAGACCCACTGGGTAGTCAGCAGCCAAGCTACAAATTTTCAAGCTACTCGACGTCGCTTCTCCGCTCGAGATTGAGTTTATCTTGATTTATTGTCCAGAGTATTAACGCAATGAACGCGCCTATGTTCGGGTCTGCTTTAAGGATGCCGTGCGGTGGTTATACAAAGTGTTTATGCTGATTGTAATGGCTACGCCGAGAACGGATTTCGCCATGGCCAGTGGGGACTCCTTCTCAAAGCTCACAGAAGGGATGGAGGGAGGCCAATTGAGCCCTTGTTTACCACGCATATGGTACCTGCACACCCGTTCGTTTCCTCTTTGTTTACTGCCTCTGCGATGTGTGGAGTGGTAGGCCATCCCGTGTTATTTTGATGGGCGTTTGTCGCATCGGGAACTTGCCGGCTTGCTCTGTATATTTGTTTAACCACTTCAGACTTGGGCGGGATAAGATAATAAAGGGGTAGGTAGACAATAAAGTTCCACCAAGGCCTCTTTTGGACGCAACTGGTGTGACAGGGTTTCAGAGGTCCCAAATCAACTTCTGAAGAGATCAGAAGTTTGCCGACAAAAAACAAGGAACTCACCCACGTGTAATGCTTGAAATATCCCCCCCCCCTCACATTCAGGCGTTCTTTTCTGAAGCCTGTTCAGACGGTCGCGTCATGTGACAGGAAGAAGAGAGGATTAGGTGGTTTACTCTTCCTCGAGTCGGTTCAGAAGAACATTTCCGACTAGTTTGACTGATACTGATACAGGTGAATTGTTTGTCTGACCATTTTCGTCAGCTTTTAAAGCTGTGTTATATGTACAGACCAGTACAGACCCTTACATTTCGATCTTATGTCTGCGAAGTCTTCCCGCCCGATGCGCCGCAGCTTCCGACTTATATCCTGTCGCACATCGGCTTATCGAGCTTCGGTATTGCCATTCCTAGCGCGCTATCTTACGTGCGAAGAGACAGAAATACAGAAGCTAAGACTTTAACTATCCCCATAATAATCGTTTCTTTGACTCTTGATTAATCTCTTATTTACTGCCCACAGTGAATGGAGCTAATTTTTTGCTGAGAATTTTGAACTTACGATTTCAAAATAAAGCGAATTCCTCTCTCTCCCTCTCCCTCCCTCTCTCTCTCTCTCTCTCTCTCTCTCTCTCTCTCTCTCTCTCGCAGTTAGACTTGGTCATTCTTATTGTCGTTCAAGGTTCTTGTTCCGCAAAAATGCAGCTGTTCCGATAGTAACTGCCCCTAAGGTGCGTGACCGATCTCATGAAATGTTGGCCAAAATTCTAGAATGCATTTCCGATTAGGAAGGATTACTTAAGTGGGGCTGTTATACTGATTATCATGAAGTATAACCCTATAACATTTCGGACTCGCCTGGATTTCGGCTTTTGAATGCACTTCTTTTAGACCTGCAGAAACCACACTCGGTAAATAATGACTTCTTATGTAAAATGCATTTTTCCTACTGATTTTCGATGGTCTTATAAATTCAAATATATTTTATAGAGAAAATGCACAAAATATGCTTTTTTGCTCATTTTGTAGGAAATCACGTTGCCTCCATATTTTAGGCCCGAAGAGCGTGTGTACTTAGGTTTTAAAAAGTTTATAACTATGAGATTTTTAAGACCGTGCGATGTCCATGCATGCAAGACCGCACATGTCTGTTTACTAATGCTCCTCATGAAATGTACAACACAGTCCGGATCCATTGCAAAATTTCATGAACTGCATGTGATATCTGCTTAAAGGTATAGAGGAATATATGATTTTCCTTACGCGGAAAGCATGCAACTTGTAGACTGAAAGTGCTAAACGCTGATGCAATGGCAGATCAGGCTGGAGATTAATCGGGAATTGGGAAACTTTTTCAAAACCCAAGTATACACTCTCTTCGGGCCTACAATATGGAGACAACGTGATTTCCTACCAAATGAGCAAAAGGAAACACATTTTGGGCATGTTCTCTGTGAAATATATTTGAATTTATAAGACCACCGAAAATCAATAGGAATAGTGCATGATAATTAAGTAGTCATTTTTGCCTACTGTGATTTCCTCATAAGGTCAAAAAGAAGTGCATTCAAAAGCCGACGTCCTGGCGAGTCTGAAATGTTTGAGGGTTATGCTGCATGATAATCAGTGTAACAGCCTTACTTAAGTAGTCCTTCCCAATCGGAAACACATTCCGGAATTTTGGCCAACATTTCATGAGATCGGTCACGCATTGTAGCTCGATGCAGGTGATTATGATCTGGCCTCCAAACGCGAAATACGTTGCGATCACACTGTTTGTGGGGGAAAATTCGTCTTCATGTCCACTTCGACTGTCTTCGCTTCAACTTACCCTGCTCACGCATCATGCTGCTTTACTGCCAATGAAATGAGTGAAAGCTTGGACGTAATCGGTGTACTCGAGTTTCGTAATACGCGGATCACAACCTACTGTGGCACTTCAGTGATCGGTCTGCCGGCGTGTGCGGATGAACCCAACCAACCGTACCCAGACGACAGTGGACCCCCCTGGCCGGCATCATTTGTAGTTGTCGGGTTGCCATTGACTGTTCAATGCACTGTAGAATTTATCTTCTCCTTATCTAACTGCCAACAAAATGGTTCACACAACGAGGAGGGCTACCAGTCTCGGATGCGTTTTTAAGCGCGTAGCGATTATCTAGCCGCTGGAAACAAGACAGACCGGAAATTGGTTGAAGCCTGGGCCTCGGATGAGAAGTCAGTCAATCGATTTATCGATCTGGTGTCGGCGTACAAAGTCCTGCGTAGTCACCTCCAGTCTTGCGACGTCGATCGATGATTGACCTACATACCTTATAGCTGTCGTTTGTTCTGTTGCTGCTACTACCTCTAACAGTGGACTCCTGTACGAGTCTGAAAGCTCAGGACAATAAACAAAGTGTTCCGGCGCTCGACTCTTCTTCTTCACTTAGCCCCTTAGTCTCTGGGGTTGACTGCAGACCAAATTGCCGGAATCTTGGGCAAATACTGGGCTGCGGCCATATCCATTTGATCGGGACACTCACGTACATAGAGTACAGTAGGTGGGCTAACTCATGAAATGTCGAGCGAAATTCCGAAATGCGTTTTTGTTTCGAAAAGATCAATTAGGTAGGGTTGTAAAAATAATCTTCATGCAGTATAATTCTATAATCAGTTACTTCAGGATGCCGGCTTTCGAACGAACTTCCTTCCGGCTGCATGCAAAAACTATACTCCGCAAGAAATGACTACTCACGAAGAATGCACTTTCCTCATGGATTTTCGGTGCCCCTAACTATCCAATTATATTTCATGGAAAAAATGCATAAAAATATTCATTCCTTTGCTCATTCGCTAGAAAATTACGTCTTCTAGTTTTATACACGAAGGAGGGACATAATTCGGTTTTAACAAAGTTTTTAATTGTGGGACTTTTAAATACCGTGAAATGGTCGTTCATAAATCGTCATATCTCTGCATTTACCAATGTAGCTTGTAAAGTTAAAAATATGGATCAACTCCACTATTACATTTTATGAGCCCTATATGGTCCCCTCTTATTACCGTAGAGAAGTATGTGGTTTTCCGTACGTGGAAAATACATTGTTTGTAGTTTTGAAACCCTGAATGCAAGCGTGACGGCAGAGCGGGTTCAAAATTATACAGGAATCGGAAAAAAATCTGAAAACCGAATTATACCCTTCCTTCGATGGTAACATTGGAAGAAGACGTAAGTTTCTACCGAATGAACAAAAAGAATGAATATTTTTATGCATGTTTTCCATTAAATATAATTGAATGTTTAAGGGCATCAAAAATAAACGGGAACGTAAGTAGTAAGTTTTTACAAAATATAGTTTCTGCATGCAGTCGAAAAGAAGTTCATTCGGAAGCCGACATCCTGAGATAACTGAATTATTATAGAATTATGCTGCATGGTGATTAGTTTTACAACCCTACTTAAGTAATCTTTTCGAAACGAAAACGCATTTCGAAATTTCGCTTGACTTTCATGAATTAGCCCACCCACTGTAAGAGCAGGCAATTAGTTAGCGATTTTAGTAAGCTGGAGCACGTTATAATTACTTATGATGGCACTCATAGGGCATCATTAAACCCCGTCTTTCATTCTTTCAAAAGGTCAAGGTTCTTCGGTATATCAAACCGCTTACCCTTGCCGATCTGGTTGTCGGTCAGTACGTCGGTGATCCCAAGGGGGCCACAGAGGACTCCCGGCAGGGCTACCTCGATGATCCTACGGTCTCCAAAGGTATTTGACACTCCCTGTCTCACCTTTTTTCCATCAACCTTATTAATGTCTGCATGCCGGACGTTCTTCAGTAGGTAGCGAAACGCATTAACCCGCGGGACATCTTTAACAACGCAGAGACGGACCACTCAACAACGAATAGTTGAAACGCAGTCACTCTGGTCAAAAACAAAATTGTTAGCAATAGCAGAAGCGGCCGCCATCAGGTTACGAAAATCGACTCTGCGCCCAGACGAACCTCGTTCAGGCTCCGCGCTTACCGCGGTCAAAGGCCGACTAACCACATAAAACTTTCTGCGCCTTTTCGCTCTTGCCTAGCCTGTGTTTTTTTACAGCTAACTATCGATTTTTTTACTAACTGTACCCCGTTCCCATATAGCTTTACCGGCCTGTGAAGAGAAATTATCGAAAGCGGCGTTTGCTCGCCACCTCGTCCTCTGAATATTGCTATGGGAATTTTCACAACTCTAAATATAGTGAAATTGGAATCAAACTACTAAGGAGTAATAATGCTTTGGGGAACGCAGAAATTCCGTAGGTGTGTGAGTTGTTAATCGTCCTTTTCAGAGGTACATTAGTGAATAACTAGGACAGGATATGCGCAAATAGGGTTACAAGGCAGGTCCTACTCATCCGTACGTTCAATTTTCTCCGAGAGTATGTTTGATGCCTGCGTCGACCAGTCGACTATCCGATGTTGCATAACGTTTTCCAAAAGGGAGTCTATTCAGATTGGCAAAGTTGAGAGATCCGGGTTGATTATATGAAGAAGATGGGCTCATCGGAACAAGTTTCTTTAAATGCTGACGTTTCAATGAGCTTGGTCGGCTCTCTATTGTCAAAGCGTAAAATGCACTTAATCGACCAGAAATCCCAAATGTCATGTCACATTTGTCGACCTCGTGCTGATAGATTTTCCTCTCTCTGCTTTGGCCTCTCGAGGGATGGTTGACGGGCATTTTGCCTGCGTGCATTGTGACTCACCACTCCGTCGGGGGGAGGTGATTGAACCAGTGTCGGGTGGTCGGTCTGGCGGTTCTTGGTCTTCTTCACCGAGTAAACTCGCCGTCGGGCTGTCTCCATATGGCCTTCTTAAGTCCGGTGTGGTTGTTTGGTCCTGAGCTCTACGATTGTGATGACGGTAGGACTTTGTAAGCTGCAGGAAGGTCCAGATGCCTGTTGATGGAGTGGGCATCGGAGAACCACGCCTCGAAAGTTGGCCGTTCTGCTTTTGTGTTGCCCCCGGCCTAAGATGGTAGCTCTCTGGAGATCAAAAGAGAGCATTTAAATAAACCTGTTCCGGAAAGCCCATCTTCTTCAAGAGGAAGCCTGGTCATTTCTTTTAAACGTCTCTTTACAGCGATGATTGAGATGATTTTCGTGTGTTTCTGGTTGAAGAAGTTACGGCAATGGCTGTTCTCGTGAGGTCACGTGTCCCGAAGTGCGGTTCGAATAGGGAGACGGGGGAGGAACCGGAGGACTTTCCGTGTCGCCGCGCGAGTGAGGTCGATCCTCCGTGACCTCCCGTAATCGCAATCAAATCGTGGTCAGTTACTACGCCTGTAAATATCGCAAACCCTCTGCTAACTGGCTGGATAGTCTGGACCTTTAGACGGATTGCCCGGCTGCGATGACCTCTTCTGAATTACCAATCTCACAGGCATGATATATCATGCCTAGCTCGTGCTGATTGGGCTGCCCAAGGCGTTTAAGACAGACGCCTTTTTTCTACAGAGGCGTTGCTAGCCTCCACTGCTGACCTGCTAGCAACCTAGATTCCATCGAGGCTTGTTGACCCTGTAAAGTGGCGACTGGCCAATCAGCTGCGGGCTCGGGTGCTTGAGCAATGCGGTGCTAAATCATCCAAAAGTGCAGTGCAGAATTAAATCCCGGAGATGTTACTTCTGTCGAGTTTGTGCCAGAAACGGCTTCTCACCTACTTTTTTTCTGTGCAATACCAGACTCCATCACGCCAACCTACGCTTGCGCCGTCCTCTACATTCCCAACGAACGGTGGAAAGGTGTTCCCTTCATTCTCCGCGCCGGAAAAGGTACGTCGTTACCCGCTGTCCAACCAATCGCATTTGTGGTGACAGAGGTCAGGTAGCCTGTCTCTCTTCCTGAGCCTATAAATACTTCAAGCAACTTATCACTTGTGCTGATTGATGCGTCAGGAGCTTCAGCGGGGTTTAAATTCACAAGGACTAGGAGAATGTTGATTGAAGTAGAATGTGTAGCATTGCCGAGAAATACAAGGGAGGCTAGAAGGCCAATGCTGGCCTATTGGACGTCGTTAGTCAGTCATACACAACCCCGAGATGTGCCACACTTGGGGCTTGATCCCGCGACCTTTTAGTTAGAAGTCCACTCCTCTAACCACTGGGCCATGAGCCCGGTGCCCTCTCGGTTTTCGATCGGGAATATACAGTGGTAGGGGGCGCTCACTGATCGTTCCTACGGAACTCTGTCGTTCCGTTGTGCCTTCTGGACTCTCTCTCGAGCCCAACCAGCAGCCGCACCGCGGCGCATGATAAAGGCAATATGGTATCACCGACGAAGACAAAGGTGGCTGGAATGGCTTTTTATGGCTTATTAGCCATCGTCAGCCAGCCATAGCCAACGCCTCTAACCACCAAGCCGCGGGCTGGGTTCTGTCGGTTGCGAGTGACTTCTGTAACACCATCGGTGAGTGCCCTCTCCCATTGTATGTTTCCGACCGCAAACGACAGGACAACGAAAGGTGGATTAAGGTGGAGTGTGTGAACTAGCGCTGCCTGAAAACTGCTGTTGTCAGATGGAATTAAACTGCTGTTCTTCTGAGCTGTTTCTATTGTCATCTCCGAAGAGTTCCAAAGCCCAGAGACGCAAAAAATGGTGTCCGGGTCAGGAGCCTCCACAGGCGATCGCACAGCAACGGACAATCAATAATCGAGAAATTGTATGCCTCACCTTAGGGATTAAGCTGCTGTTATCAGCCGGCATATTCTAATCCCATGATGGGTAGGTGTGAGATTTAAAGCCAGATCATTTTCCTATCGAAAATGTGAGCCGTTGTGCCGTGCATAACGCCTAACTAAAGTGGTCGGACGCTCGACT